AACCTGTTCCTGGCAATGAGCTTGTGTTTCAGCCGCTTAAGGAAGCTGCAGTCTTCTAAATGGGCTCTACTACCCAGTTGGTGTCTGAAAAATAGCAAGGCTAGGGCTTACTTAGTCACCTCCCAACTGCAAGTAGATTATCCAAGGTCACCTAGGAGCCCTTCCCCACACCACTCATTCGTTCACATGGGCACCAAAAAAAGAACACCTACCAAAATTCAGACAGGACGCCCATAGTCACAGGTGGCTATGAGGTATCAGAAATGTCTCTAGTTCAAATTAGAGTACGCTGTAAGGGTGAAATACATAGCAGATCTTGAACACATACAGGAAAAACTATGAACTATTCTCAGTAATTTTATATTGAAGTGATCAAACTATGGTTACAGGCACAAAATGGAATATGCTTTAATGTAACCACTAGTAATTTTAAATTGTACATGAGACTTGCATTGATGGCCTGCATCTTTTTCTACTGGACGGGACTGGGCTAGAGAGAAGTGGGGGTGGGGTGGAAGATGCTGATCCCTGGCTGCGTACTCTGATAGAAAAGACTTGAGGGTTTTATTTTGTATTTTCTTCTTAAGACCCATTTTCAGGGAGCAAGAATGAATGAGCAGTCAACTCTGGAAATGATTCACTATCTAGAGTAGCCTCTGGGAGAACCTGGGAAGCAACAATATCACATTATAGTGCTGCAGAAGCATCACGTAACAAGGTCAAACTGGAATCTGGCTTTGCCCTAGAATTACTTTTTGATCTTAGCAAAACAACAACAAAAACCCCACCTATCTTGGCCTTTTAGTGTTCTCAGTTTGTAGTGGAGATAATACCTCTGCCTGACTTTCGAGGGATAAATGAGATGATCCCTGTAAAATGCTTTGAACTCCTCTAAGAAAATTCTCAGTAATAGTTACAGGTCAAATCCTGTTACAAAAAATACCCTAACTCAAAAAAAAAAAAAAAAAAAAAAAAAAAAAAAAAAAACAAAGGTAGGTGGAAGGGTTAGTGTAGAAAAAGATTGCCAAACTCCATTCAGTGGTTTTTATCATTTTGATCATCTCTTAGACATCATTATAAAGAAATAAACTTATTCACAGTACTATACTGATAGAAGACTGTTAAGGTAGGAAAACTGCAAAATGGCATCATCACCTCAACAGCTACCGTGTACTGTGAGCCACTCGAGAAGCAAGACTTTGATGAATACATCCCAAGGTTCTTATCTGTGCTCAGACTTGTTAGTCACATTTGTAATTTCTTGCTGTTTAGTTATTTTAGAAACATCCCTTTACACAGACAGACTGAGTAGTTCATACACACTGTATCTAGTTTTAGGAGAGCACCATGAAAGGACAGAAAATTACTTAATTAACCCAACTTAAATTGTCAGGATTAAAATCCAGTCACAATAGTGCAGTTTACTCTATCCCATGTCACCTTCATTGATGGAGAAATTAAACCATCATTGAAAAAATCACTCTTTCACATCCTAACTAGGGGACAAGTGAACTGTTTAAAGTGGAATTGATGGTTTAAAACTCTTTAAAAAGTCAAAGTACTCTCTGTGCAGAAAGGAAAAGCCAAAATGGAAAACTGACATATATTTTGTTATATGGTGATAATCTGTATCCCTAAATTCCTGAGCATTAAAATGTTTCTAAACTAGTTCAGTCACAGATTATAGAAGCAACTAGAATTTTTCATGAATTCGCCCTATCCTCCCCACCAACGGAACCCAATTTGCGATTTAACCCAAACTTGAAAATAATAGCACTACAAAAAAAATCACTTTTTAAACTCTTTTTTAGGACTGGGTATTTAAAAACAATCAGCTGTGGCTGAAAAAATGAGTTTGTAACAAAAGTAAATACATGTCTTCATAGAGAACCTGAATAGATCTTTACTATCAAAGTAGATAAATACATTAATTTTCAGAAAAAAAGAAAAGAGTACAGTGGACTAAAGAATTCTTTAAGTCATCAGCTTCCTCAAAGTTCAAATTCAGGTGTCAGTAATAATGAACTAAGGTAGGGGGGGATTTTTACCTTGGTTTTTATAAAGTTATTAATTTTAACTTGCATGTTAAAATTAAAAACCAAAAACATTATAATTAATGCTAAAAACATGGAATAATTCACAGTATATTAAAAATTAAGGCTCAGTATGAAATTCATATGGAGTTTTTAGAAAACTAGTATTCATTTATGTTTAAGGAGGATTTTTAAATTCAGATATAAAGTTCTTTCTGTATGCACAGTAGTGACTGTTGCTGTTATAGGTAGTATATAATTATGTTTCGAATGTGTTTTGTCCATTTATATAAATGCAGGTGACAATCGGATAAGAGCCTATTCACACGTCCAGTACTCTGATGTCCAGATGTCCACTGGCTCAGTCCTTAGGATCCCCTCCTTTAATTTGTAGAGTAGGCAGCTTTAATAAGGAAGTTATTCTAAGATGTATGAGAAAGAGATTACTTTGTGACTGACAGTTTTCAATGTCATACTTTGGCTCAAATGCTAACATTCCTCTATAATAACAATAGGTTATATTTACTGAGCTCTTACTGGACATGGGACACTGTGATCTAAGAACTCTGCATGTACTGTCTCCCTTATGCCTATCAACAACCACGTGAAAAAGCTACTACTAGCCTGTCTTGGAGAAGATGAAACAGCTGTCGCCACATTGCTGCTAACTGGCAGAGCAGCTATCAATTCAGATAGTCTAACTATAAATCTTGTATTCTGAATCAGGCCTTCACCATACAGAGTAAAAAATGGAATTGAAGATCCTCTAAGATCCCTTACAACTAATAAAAACATACCTAACAATGTTATACTTTACCTTTGTCCATCTAGCAGTACTATTATCTAAACAAAAGCTGCTTCTAAGGAGCTTCTGTTCTTGTTTCAATTACTTTTTATATATAGACAAGCCTATAATCCCTTAATGCTTCTCATAATCTTTTTGCAAAACTTTAAAGAGATTTGTGAGAATATATATTGCAAAAGAATATTTAACTAAAGTTTAGTAATTTGTTTTGCTTTAGCTTCATTTTCTTCTCTTAAAGTAGCAATTTATGTATGTTACGTATTATATGAACATTTTTTGTAAATTTATCCCTACCTTACACATGCAAAGGAAAATTTTGTTGTTTTGTTTTTTTCCTGCCCCCCAAAGGGAAATTTTGTGGCATGAAATTAATAATGGTTATTTCTAGGTAGCAGAATTTTTGGATTTTACTTTATATTTACTGTATTGCTTGATTTTTGTAAATGAAAAGTATATGTTACCTTTACAAAATAAAGGCTCTCATAAAGAAAAACAGCGTTGTCATGAGTCCAAACATACCATGCGACAAGAAATTTGGAGATGTGAAGCCTAGATCATTGCCAGTTTTTAACTAGCCAATGAGTTTACTCAAACATCATTCCAGTTTTTAAAAGATTTACTTATTTATGCTTACAAGAACTGGGGTACAGGCCAGAGGTGTAGGGGTGGTGAGAGGATTCACCAGAGACAGAGTGGAGAGAACAACAGGCAGATTGACAAAGTACACCGCTGAGGAGTAGCAGGCGAGACAGGAGAGGTCTGCTGCCCATGTGGGTCACCTCCCTGGCCAGGGATCAAACTCCTGCTGCAGTGGCTGCGGACAGCTTCACAGTGCTGTGCTTTAACCCGTTGCACCACTAGAGAGGGTCCAAAGTTATCCTATTTTAAAGCATGCAGTATGTAACAGTAAAATAAAGGACAGATTTGAGATTTAAAAAGCATCGAATGATCTACTTAAAAACATCTGAGCACCTCATAAATGAAAAGTGTGGTTTTCAGAAGCTAGCAGGTTGGTAGTTTATATTCTGGAATCCTATTAGAAAAAAAGCAGAGCTTGCTTTTTTCCAATGATTCCACTGTCATATTCAGTGATAAAGTATTTTTATTTCATCTGAGAGATTTTAAAGTACTATTTAGAATAGTTAGTTCATGCAGAAAAGATCAGAAGTTAATATGAACAAATGCTAGAAAGCGATGCTATGAAAGATACGTTCACGGGTAACTTTTTCTGTTGCTTTACATTTTTCTGCATTTTCTAAGTTTTCTGCAGTGAATGTGTATTGCCAAGATAGTTTTTTAAAGAAAAACACCTAAGAAATTTTCACACCTAAATGTTAGAAATAATTTAATTAAGCTAGTTTTATAAAATATCTCATGCAGAAGAATT